GCAAAATGCGTGGTGTCAGAGTACTGCACTACTGACTGTTCACAAAAATCGTACTATTCTGTAACATCACATAAAGCTTGAAGTCATTTTCCACTTTTGCTGTCAAATTTTAGAAAACCCCACTATATGTTTTTTATGTGTTTCCCATTCACACAGCATGCCTACACATTTTCTCTAAAATATTTCTTACCTTTTAAATGTTTCTTAAGAGGAAAATATGTCTTGGCTCAAGGGCAAGCATTTCTGAAATTCAGAGTAAGTCTGTATCCAATGGAAAGGCTTCGGACAGTTTGAATCCCATTCACATTAATGTATAATGCAGGAGTCAAGCTTCTAAATCCTTAACCCTTTAGTAGGACAGACAATGTTAAGATCTAGTTTACAAATGATAATGGGATCTATCAGCACAGCACAGATAAAACTAATACAATATTTTCTTTGGTTATGCTACGTGAATGAGAACATGTAACAAATACAAAATAGGTGTTGTCTCAATATGAGTGAAAATATGGAAAAACACTTTAATGGCATCTTGCAAGCATACTATTCTAGGACTTGTGTTTTTTCAATGTCACTCTCAAAGTAGAATTTAGAGGACCCTCTCCCTGTTCTATGGAATATGTATATATATATATATATATTATTTTATTTATTTATTTATTTATGTATTTTACTGTGTTGAATGCTAATCACCACAATGCCGAACCTCACACGTCCTTTTTGACAATAGCTTACCTATGAAAAAAAAGAAGGCCAGAAATTTGAGTTTATGTGTGCCACATAAACTTCAATAAAAGTTAATGGGATTCACCGTTCTGTTCAGTTTTGCAACTTTTAAACAGTATTCAATGAACCCACAGCATTCTGCTAACACCCCAAGAATTGAACCTGGGAACATTTGCCCTTCCCTAATGCTGAACAAGTTGTGTGCCAGCACATGTGTCAAACTATGCAAAAGTTTGTGTTCTTTGATGTGAATCTAAATTTTACCAAGAAATGTTATCTATACAAACTTTTTTTTGTTACAAGGGGAGTAATCAGTAATCGAAAATACATTCCCAAATGTAGACAAGCAATGGAATCATGTTTTTATTGCATTACAACAATTAATAAAAGACATTGCAAAATACCACTTTTGTGAAGAAGTCTGAATATTTTTTCATGCTCATGTCATTATTATGAATTGGATCTTGAATCATCCTGCCTGTTTGATAGGAGAAAAGTACTTTTCTTTGAATAATTGGTCATACACCTTGTTCTGCAGGAGAAGCTATGCTGTTAGTTCTTTTTTTAGTTCTAGCAGATCTAACCAGCATTTTCCTGACTTCTTTCAATTTTTATCTTTTTAAGTATTTTCTTATTATAACCTTTTAGCACAAAATTGACATGGAAATGTTGCTTAGGTCAGCTAGATAACACAAAGCTATATAGTGTAATAAAATCCTTGGAAGATTTCTACAATTTATAAGCTGACCTAGATACATTAGCTGATTAGGAAACTACATGGCAAATGAGTTTCTGTGTGGATAAATATAAATGTTCTATATTTGGGGAAGTACAAATAGACATACAATGGGGGTAAATAGGGTTAACTGCTGATGGAAAAGATTTGAGGAGTTCTGACATCATTTAGATCAAGAGACAGTGGCATCATTTTGCTCTGATAAAAAAAAATTGCAGCACTGCCCCATCTTGAATATGTAGTTCAATTCTGGGCACCTGTTCACAAAAAGGAGGAAGTCTGAAAGTGTTCAGACAAGAGCTATTACATTAATAAGAAACACAGTGGACCTCAGTTAAAAAGAAAGGCTAATTGAGCTCTCTTTATAAGAGACATTCCAGTGCTGGCTTAACCAATAAAAGTTCTGACAGTTAAAGTGAAGCAAAACCCAAGAACAAAAATGAAATCTATAGCAGCTTACCAATCTTTAGATGCAGTGGTTTTCTTTCTTTCCTGCGCTGGTTTTCTTTTTAATTTTTTCTGACTTTTTTAAAAATGTATTTTTATTTGGTAATCATACCAAAAATACACCTCTTATCTTGGTGAGAATAATCACTTTCAGTACTGTACAGTACCTATAAAAGAGCAGTGCTGTCATCTTAGGACAGGAAATGGGTTATGGCTTCTTGTAGCCTTCCCTCTTTCTTCATCTTCATGACACAGAAGGAGGTAGTCTGTAGACTGAAAAAGTGAACAGGGTAGGGCTGTTAACACGGTTTTAAATTTAGTGCAGAAGAGGCCAAGTACACAGGAAGTTATACGTTTGCTAGATTTCTGGCAGGATCAATAGTTATTTTTTTGTACTTGCATCGTTATTAAAGAGAAAAAAATGGTGCCCAGATTTTGGTGCTCTGTAAAAAAGTATACAAAAATGGACATAATGTTGGGCAGGCAGGAAAGCAGATTCCTTTCTAGTTCACCTTATGTAACTCAGTGTGGGCGTACTTAGTTTTGCTGCTAAAAAATAAAGTGGGTGCAGGAAACCTTAAATACACCTGGCATGTTTTGACCTTCCCTTGTTGAGCAATGCATTTATGATAATCTCCCACAATATACAATACATAGTCATGTGAACAAGTAAGTACACCCTGTGAGCTGGGGATAGGTAGTGGGTGTAGAGCTCCCTGGGGTGAGCAACCTTTGTTTCACAGATACCAGTCCAGTAGTGTACAAGTTATTTACAGGTGTTGTACAGTGCTTCAGAGACAAAACAAATCAAACTTCAACAAAACAAAACCTAGCTGCGTCTCAGTTCTTACCAGGGGCGGACTGACCATTTGGAAACTCGGGCACTGCCTGAGGGCCCGGGGTTAGTAGGGGGCCCCATGAGATGCCCCTGGTACTTTTTTTATAGGCATTTTTGAGTTTGGGCAAGGACACAGTGGCCCCATGATCCCCTATTGCCTGGGGGACCCACGAGTTGTCAGTCCACCCCTGGCTCTTACTATACATTCACAATCCTACCTAACAGGCTGCCTGAGTCTGATGCATGTCAGCCACCATATACACAGTTTTGCAGTTCTCACCAACCATTAACTCTAACAGACATGGCATGTTTGCTACGTTGGCTGCAAAGCAATGATTGTGTGCCTCAGGTGAACCTAAATTACTTGACAGGGAGCAAGGCAAAATCTAGAGTGGATCACAGCACCAGGGGTCTTGAAAGATAGAAGAAAGGTACCTGAGATATGTATAAATCCCAAAGAGGACTTTTCTGGGCATCCTGTTAGACCCCATGAAAATTGTTGAAGAGGCAAATATTAGATGCTATTTCAAACAATGCCTACAGAAGGTGATATACTAAAAGGAATTGTGCATACAATGTACATGGTGTATTCATTCTCCTAATCTAAATGAACAAAATTTCAGATTTGGCATGTGGATAATATGAGTACACCACCACGTTTACCACCACTTCAAATTTATAAATCTTTACATTTAGATGTTCCAGAATACATGCCAATGTTTAGAACCTCCTTTAGGAGTATGCAAGTGGAGCTTGTCTTATTTAAACCTTAGATATATCTGGTCTAGTATCCTCTATGCTGATGATGTGCAATATTGTCATTTCAGGATAAAAAAATGCTCCCCAATGCCCTCAGGCATCCAGAGGTTTTGAATGCCTATGAGTCTGGCAAAATGATTCAAAAGGTCATAAACTTATTTGAGATCATTCCACTGTAAGGAAATTACAGTGGTATAGATTCCAAACAACTAAACAACTATCTATGCTATCTTGTGCAAGACTGACCTGCAAATTTAGTCTAAGAGCTGTCTGTTTGATACTAAAATAAAACGCCAAAAAACCCATAATTTCATTGAGGTGTCTGCAAATAACTCAAATTACAGTGTGACATTCAACATACAAGCAAAGGCCAGGAGTTCTGGAAAAATCTGCGGTGGGCTGATAAATCAAAAGAATTCTCATAACAACTGTAAACTATGGTGGACGACATGTTATGGTTTGGGGTTGCTTTGTTGATGCAAGGCTTTGACTGCTTGCAGTCATCAAGACAACTATGAATTGATGAAAATGTGAGGACATTTGTCCAAAAGTCTAAAACCAGATGAGATGAATGCTTCAAGATGATAATGTTCTAAAGAACAGTAGCAAATCCACCAAGGAATGGTCCCAAAAGAAGGAGATAATGGTTATAGTTAAGGTTATGGTAAGATCACATTGAAATGTTGAGAGGGGAGTTTGAAACTAACAGTTCATGCAAGAAAACCTAAAAACATCTTGCAACTGAAGGAATTTTGCAAGGAGGAGTAGTAAAAAAACTTTCACTGAGTGGATGTCAGAGATGAATGGGTAGCTATGCAATACTTCTTGAAGAAGCCATTTCTGCTAAAGGTGGCAACACAGGCTTCTGAAGCTAAGGGTGTACTTACTTTTTTAATAGTACACCCTTACACCTATAGATATTTTTGTTAAATAAATGATTGAAAGGGCACATTTTTGTGTTTTTATATTTAATTATATCACCTTTGGCTGTAGGCACTGTTTGGATAAGGATCTAAAGTTTGCCTAGTCAAATCTCTTAAAAAAGTAAACAATTTCCACGATGTGTACTTACTTTTTCACTTGATTGTATTTTTTATTTAGTATTTTGTATAGTGTTTTTTTGTTTATATCAAATTATGCAGGCAGTCTACGTACTGTGGCTGCTTGTCTTGCTTAACAATTAAAACATAAAAAGCAGACAACAACTCAAATTTAAGGATGAAGCAAACATACCTAGATCCAGTTGAATGTGGGTTTGGTGAACTGTACTGAGGTTCGCATGCTGAGTCCGAAAACTCATTAAAGTCAATTCAGCTGAAGGCTAAAACCAGTAATGGGCATTTTCTAGGCTACTAGGCAAGGGATTGTTGAACAAATAGTATATTCCTGGGGGACATTTACCAAAGCAAAAGCAAACTTTATTTGACAGGGAGCAGTGATTTTAACAGTGCTTAACCTCCCTGGCAGTATTCGCGAGTGTAGCACGGGGTAAAGTTTCAGTACCAAAAGCGGTAACCCCGAGCTACACTCGGGAATACCCTGCAGCGTTGCTCAGGGATTCCCTGCAGCACTTACCTTGTCCTGCGCTCCTGAAATTTGTCCCCTGCAGCGTCCCCGGCCATCTCCTCCAGCCGATGCCGGCATCCATCTTCCAGGTCCCTGCGAGCGTCAGGACGTACGGGGGCTGGAACCGGCGGGAAATTTTAACATTTTAAAAACTGACATTCACTAATACCCTAAAATCACATAGTAAAACATTACTGTATCAAACCATTTCACATACATTGTCCCTAGTGCTTTGTCCTGTGCCCTGCCTGCATTTTTACTGTTCTTATTGCCTGGAAACTGGGAAATGTCCATGGTGTCCAAAAAGTGTCCCTTTAGGTCAAAAGCGGTTTTAGACCAGCTAGAGATACAGCGATAGTACATCAGAACCACTTGCAGAATTGAGTGATAATGATTTGTGGGGAAATTCATCATCAAACACTGAAAACGATTCTGCGACTGAGTTCAGCGATGTGAGAACGTGGCGCTATATTTCAAATTTCGACATATTTTGAATTCATTTATTATTATTATATTATTATTTTTTATGATTATTTATTAAAAAGTACTGTTTCAAATTTTATCCTACCCGGGATGTTTACTACTCTTGTTCGGACAATTTCAGTGGACCTAAAAATTACAGGCCTACAATAAAAACAACTATTTCCATGCAAAAAAAGTACTGCTTTCAGCAAGAAATATGGAATAATCATACCGCTAGGGAGGTCAACATTCAAAATGCTAAATTTCAATAAATAACATACTTGTGGGATGCCCTTAACTTGCCTTCGAAGTGGGACATCTGCACCATGTATACAACCTAATGCAGCAAAATTGAAATTCACAAAGAACAAAAAAAATGGTGTTCAACCACTTACCGTTCAGCCCATGTACATTCGGATGGAAGCAGTGCCGAAGCAGGTGGCCGGAGGACACAGCGGAAAACACTGATCGCTGTACGGGACCTCTGTGTGAGGTCACAATCATGTGATCACTGATTGGCCAATCAGTGATAACATGAATAGAAGTAAACAAGATGTCACTTGCTGATATCATTGCTTACTACTAGTAAAATCTGTGAATGATCACAGAGGTCACATTGTACAAGGCTATTCACAACAACCTTGTACCATGTGACAAGCTGTGACCAATAACAGCTCTCACAGTATTTCTCAATGGCTGCAAGAATTCAGCCAGAGAGAAGGAGAAATGATTGCTTTTACAGCCTTTATGGATGTAAAAGCAATCAGTGTAAAAAAAAAAAATCTCTTCATCACCCCCCCCCCCCTGCGAGTAGTAAAGTGTCACTATGGTGACACTGTACTGCTAGGGTGACAGTATGTTAAAAAACAAACAAACATAAATAATAAAATAAAGATGTAAAACATTTTTTTTGAAAAATTAAAATTTTTGGTTATAAACTAATTTGGGTTATTTTTTTTTTACTAAAAAGATAGATGAATACATTTTGGCCAACATTTATGAAAAACGATTATTTATTTGCTAAATTTTATAAGAAAAACACTTTTATATAGCAAAAAAATAAAAATCCCAGTGGTGAATAAATACCACCAAAATAAAGTTTTATCTGTCTCCAAAAAATGCTAAACAATTCATATGGGTACACTGTTGCATGGCCGTGCAATTGTCAAAGTGTGATAGCACTGAAAGCTGAAAATTGGCCTGGTCAGGAAGGGGATGAAAGTGTCCAGACTTGAAGTTGTTAAATTGCCAGTAAATGACAGCTTCAGCCACTTACCATGTTTTGTAAACAAAGCAACCAAGAATTCCATAAATCTTTATCTGACCCTTATCCTAAATGGGGATCTGATATAGATGATAGTGAGCGGGGAATGGCATGGGGTCCTAATTTAAAATATACCATGCACCATGTAATGGATGTCAAGGAGAACTCCATGCAACCCCCAAAATTTTATATATATATACTGCATCTCTCTCTCTCTCTCTCTGTATATATATATATATATATATATATATATATATATATATACAGTTGCAAGAAAAAGTATGTGAACCCCTTGGGATTACGTGGAGTTTTGCATGAATTGGGCATAAAATGTGCTCTGAACGTCATCTAAGTCACAACAATAGAAGAACACAGTCTGCTGAACATAATACTACATAAACATTAGATGTTGCCATGGTTTAATTGCACATAACATGTAAACATTCACAGTGCAGGGAGGAAAAAGTATGTGAGGCCCTAGCCTAATGACTTCTCCCAGAGCTAATTGGAGCCAGGAGTGAGCCAACCTTGACTCCAATCAGTGTGATGATATTGGATGTGTTGCTGACAGCTGTCCTGCCCTTAAAAAACACACACCTGTTTTGGGTTTACTGGTTTCAAGAAGCACTGTCTGATGTGAACCATGTCTCGCAAAAAAGAGCTCCAAGAAGACCTACGATCAAGAATTGTTGATTTGCATGAAGCTGGAAAGGGTTACAAAAGTATCTCCAAAAGCCTTGATGTTCATGTGTCCATGGTAAGACAGACTGTCTACAAATGGAGAAAGTTTAGCACTGTTGCTACTCTCCCTAGGCGTGGTCGTCCTGTAAAAATGACTGCAAGAGCACAGAGCAGAATGCTGCATGAGGTAAAGAAGAATCCCAGAGTGTCAGCTAAAGACCTACAGAAATCTCTGGCACATGCTAACATTTTTGTTGACACATCTGCAATAAGGAAAACATTAAACAAGAATGGAGTACATGGGAGGACACCACGGAGGAAGCCATTGCTGTCCAAAAAGAATATTGCAGCACGTTTGAAGTTTGCAAAAGAACACCTGGATGTTCCACAGCACTACTGGCAAAATATACTGTGGACAGATGAAACCCAGATTGAGTTGTTTGGGAAGAACACACAACACTATGTGTGGAGAAAAAAAGGCACAGCACACCAACATCAAAACCTCATCCCCACTGTAAAACATGGCGGAGGGAGCATCATGGTTTGGGGCTGCTTTGCTGCCTCAGGGCCTGGACGGATTGTTGTCATTGATGGGAAAATGAATTCCAGAGTTTATCAAGACATTTTGCAGGAAAACGTACGACCATCTGTCCGCCAACTGAAGCTCCGCAGAGGATGGGTGATGCAACAGGACAATGACCCAAAGCATACAAGTAATTCAACAAAACAATGGCTGCAACAGCACAGAATACGCCTTCTGGAGTGGCCCAGTCAGAGTCCTGACCTCAACCCGATTGAAATGCTGTGGCATGACCTTAAGAGAGCGATTCACACCAGACATCCCAAGAATATTGTTACACTGAAACAGTTTTGTGAAGAGGAGTGGTCCAAAATTACTCCAGATCGTTATGCAGGTCTGATCTGCAACTACAGGAAACGTTTGGTTGAGGTTATTGCTGCCAAAGGAGGGTCAACCAGTTATTAAGTCCAAAGGTTCACTACTTTTTCCTCCCTGCACTGTGAATGTTTACATGTTATGTGCAATTAAACCATGGCAACATCTAATGTTTGTGTAGTATTATGTTCAGCAGACTGTGTTCTTCTATTGTTGTGACTTAGATGACGTTCAGAGCACATTTTATGCCCAATTCATTCAAAACTCCACGTAATCCCAAGGGGTTCACATACTTTTTCTTGCAACTGTATATATATAGTGATGGTAAAAACCCAACCTTGAGTTCAGACTGAACCTTGAAGTCTCCTAGTCCCAACCTGCAACATCCAATAAGTGAAAACCATGGCAATTTATCAGTTCATATTTATGCCTGCCACAACCTACAGTGAGCTTTGAAACCCTTGGATGTAAACAAGGGTCTCTGTGGGCAAAAGCATGGTAAGTCACCAGATGTTAAGGGGTAAACTAAAGCCAATCAGAGCAGAGATCAAATTTAGGAAATCATTTGGAGACAAGACAAAAAAGAAAACTAGGCCCGAGAAGAAGGCATAGATAAAAGTAGGAAGCCATATCCCAAGCAGGTAGTAGGTGGTGTAAGGGGCAAGTCTCAGTTCTTCTGGCCTTTACTGTAATCTCTAGCAGTGAGAACAGGACTGAGCTTCAAAGCTTTCAATTGAACCTTGCTGATGATTATTATTATTATTATACAGTATTTAAAAAGCGCCAACAGTTCACTCAGCGCTGATGATAAGGAGTAACTGAAGAGTAACCATAACAATGAGCACGTAGCAGCAACATACTAAACTGAGACTAAAGTATGCATACAGGTAACACATACCCTTGCTAAAAGAAGCTAGGTAAAACAACCTGTGGTGTAACAAAGGTAAAAGTGTATAGACGGCTGTGATAGTGCTAGAACCTACCACTGTGTTAGAAGAGGAAATTATGGGCTCGTGTAAATCTCTGAACTAGATGTAGAAAAACACAAATCCAAGTTGAGATAGATAGATAGATAGATAGATAGATAGATAGATAGATAGATAGATAGATAGATAGATGATAGATATATACTGTATTTACGGCATATAGCTTTAGGACAGTGTATTTCACAGCAAAACACCTGCACATTTCCCCACTTTTTATTCTTTTGAGGACCCCTTACAAGAACAAATAGTGTGTCCCTCCCTTCTACGTGAAACTTGACTAAACATCTGACTAAAGTAGTTTCTTTAAAATGCTGTTGTTCTGGTGTTGATTAAGATGTAACTGTATTGTAAATGTAAGTGACAATGACCCTAAACTTGAGCAGAGTTAAAATTATTAATTTTGCAGCTTAGCTTTTTTACACTGGACATTTAAATTTTGATGCAAGGAAAAATAGATAAATTATTGCAATTCACTTCTATTCTCTTGATTTTAAAATAGCTATTTTGAATAAGTCCAGTGAAGTCTGGAAGATTAATGAATGAATTCAAACATCCATGCTAGAGCTGTCACACCCTATGATTTCTATTTTTAAAAATTAACCAACTAAAAAGAAAAAGATATTCCTGTTTCTCACAAGAAATTGAACTAAAAAAATAGTAAGTGGTGCCTAGTTTGGAGATTTTGTAGCAAACAGAATGGAATTTCATCTAACTCAGGGGCACTAAAAACCTCAACAATTATACGAATGTATAAAAATAATCTGAACTACTGAATGGATGGGTGTTAACATTATAAATATAATATATACATATAAATATAATATAGCAGTTTAACACATCTGACATAACAAGGTAGAAACAAAATGCCAGATTTTTTTCACATCAGTATTATAATATTTTAAGTAGATCAGTCATAAACCGTTGCAAATCAAACTTAGCATTCAATGAAAGAAAGCACAAACACACGTTACACTTGCCACAAA